CTACCGAGCGTTCCCGACGGCGGTAGCGGACATTCCCGACTATATCCAAGATGGCCGTCAGCTTGTGCCGACTAGCTATTTTACTACTTTTCTGTCGCGCTGTGGAATATTTAGGCTGATCTAAACATCGGCAACCCGGCCAATTGTGGAGTTATATTGTAGGGAAGCTCGGGACAGCAAAAAACCGGGTCGAAAACGGAGCATCTGGAAGCCAACGGGAAATGTGCAGTTTTGCCAATGCATCTTTCCACGACTCTTGTCTGAGGGTAATGCAATGTAAGCCCGAATCAAGAGTCCCCACGGCTACATAGCACATAAAATTTTGGTCTGGAAGCTATAATTACGTTTAATGTCTGACTGTTTCCGAATAAATGCCTCGTCCAAACCCAAAACAAATCCACTGGTGACGATGATTGCTTAGCAGCAGCCAGCAGATCCACACCCCAGTTGCCTAGCATCAGCCGGGTGACCACGCCCCGTTGCCTAGCACCAACCGGGTGACCACGCCCCTCCCCAGAGCATCGGGGTAGACTTTGGATCGGGCGGCGGGTCCATGGCGGGCACCAGGCTCTTCCTGTACTCCTCCAGCTTAGCCTGCATCTCCTTCAGCTTGTCCGGCATGCTGTCCGCCAGGTTGTGGTGTTCTGTAGGGTCGTCTGGAAGAAGGAACAGAGACTTTGGCAACCGACTACAGGCTACAGGTATGGGATGTGATTAGAGCCCAACATGGCTGCAAACAACACCCCAACATTCCAATTTGAAATGATCAGCACAAAAATCGTGGACGTGGGCATTGAACTGAAGACTAAGACAAGACAAATGCAGGAAAACAGGCTAAACATGGGAGCAAAGTGGAGAGGGCCCAGGACTGCATAGGACTGAGGGATCTAGTACGTGAGCTATACGCCAAGGAATGAACAATGGCCGAAATATGAGTGATTACCTTTAAGGTTGAAGAGCCAGGTGCCGTTGTTGGGGTCCTCGCCGTCAGACTGAGTCTCCTCCGTCAGGTTAGGCGGGGGGATCCACCCGTCAGGCGTCCCGGCGTTCCCCTCTATCAGCTTGTAGTCACCAACCCTGGAAATAAAAAAAAGACATAATGATGTTCCTTCAGACATCTTCAAACGAGACGTATACGTAGTTAATTCTAGTCACAATGGCATTCTTCACACGGCTATGCTGGATCTCTTCCTCAGGAATCCGTCTCACTTGTTTAAAGCAAAGGTTTTTGTCATCTTGTGGCAATGCCACTATCTTTACGTTTAACGTAACTTGAGATAAACTTTATGAATGGAAGATTGTACCTGATTGCTCCCTGCTTGGTTGTCTGCACGTCGTCGATGTTGTAGACAAACTCTGTGCGCGGGGAGGGCTTACCCGACAGGATGGTGTCCAACTGACTAACCCCGTCTATACCGGCGTCTGAAAACATACCCACGATTGATTGCCCACTATATAACGATAAACGCACAAAGCTGTTCAACCTTCTCTCCGCCTGCTCAACAGAAATTTGTTACATTTCATGCTATAGATAAATTCAATTTTATTCTAGAAGGTAATTATCCTTACTGTGTACAAATAGGTAAATATCAAAGAATGTTTAGACCTTAGAAGAATTATTACAAATGTATAAGTTGATTCACCTATTGTCTTGTATGTAGGTTAATTTCGTTGTACCCACGTATTTGTCTGTATCAGTCTACAAAAAAAGTTTAAGGCCTCACGAAAGTCGCTGTACTTTTGTTGTGTCAGTTAAGTATCTTTATATGTTATCAGACAAAACTAGGTCAAAGGGGAAAGAGCTACAGAGGGAGTTTTGTGACAGGATGAAAAGACGATCTTGGTACGTAAGACATGCCCCTACGTCAACACCTGAGCACCTACCTGCAGTACCACCTGCAGCTGCCAGGATCGTTGGGTACCAGTCCACTGCATGAATCATCCTGAACAAACGTAATGGCATTAAAGTAGTGACTTTAGACGCAGGAACGCACGAAACACAGAACTGACAGAAAATCCCTCTAAATCTTCTAAAGCAGGGTTTGCAAATTGAAAAAATATATATATATACGTGTGAGTGTTATTCTGGAAGAATGCACACAAGCACCATATGATTTTGTAATTCTTTCATTATGAAATAAAATTAAATTTTTTTAGGCTATGCATTGTTTTGTTGATAGTTTTGCAATTGAAATTGACTGGACCTACTCATTGTTTGTGTAGCCTGTTTTCTGCAGCATCTTGCCGTGCGCGAACGCCACCCCCCTGGTGCCCCCCTCCCACAGCGTCGTCTTCCCGCCACGGAGGGGGTAGTTGTTACCGCTGGCAGTGATCCAGCCGCCGTTCTGGGCGGGAAATCAAACCAAGCGACATTAAACGGGAGGACAGAACACCAAAGACAAAGCGAATTACATTTTGGGCTTGAGATATCAAAATATACTTTTGACCCAGTGTTGACGTCACACTTCAAAGAAGCCACGTGACAAGCCTCACTGAGTCTGTGAGTCTACTGAGGAAGACCAGAGTGACTGGTCGAAAGCTCTAGGTGAGAAAACTTTTTGTGTTTGATCTTAAGTCAAAACTCTAACCATATCAAAATATGCTTGCACACTTTGCATCTCGCTCTAGCAACATAGCGTGAAAGACACTGTTAACTATTCTGTCCTGTCATCCCTTAGCCTGAGTCATCCCTTGCATCCTCTACTTGCGGCAACGTATCTTGTCGATAGTCTCCACCAGACTCCTTTGTAGGTTCCTCTGGTCGATGATATCCCCTTTTATGCCGACTTCTACTATTTATTCAACCTACAGGAGTCTGATGGAGAGTGACGTTGGAGGAAGGAAAACTATGTTCAAATGTACATTTATGATAAGATAATGCATAATCGGACTAATTCATGGCCATTCATTTTTCAGACGACCAAAATTAAGTTCCTTTTTCTTACGTCAGTGGTGAAGATCACGAGAGTGTTGTCCCACAGTCCTGCATTCTTCATTGCCATGGTAACGTTACCGACAGCTTCGTCCATGGCGCTCACCATACCTGTAGGTTTGAATGTAGGTTTGAGTCTGACAGCTTCCATGTCGCGAAACACGGCGATGGGACTAGGTACATGTACAGATTGTTTTGTAAAAAATTCTTTCATCTCATATGGAAATGATCAAAATCACCCTCGTCCTTCAAGAAAGATGGCGGGGTGCCGTTTGAAAGCCTATCAGGGTGAACATTTTACTAACCTAACCCTTCATTTTCAACTTACCAAGAAGTGTCCTTCTGTTTTCATCTTGCACGCTTGCGTACATGTCTTCAAATCGTTTTGGAACCTGTAGGAGAAGTACGTGCAGACTTTAAGCTCTCTTCCTCTCATCTCATCAGCATTGAAACAAAAATCAGTCACAAGCTTGAGAAATCGAGAACTTGGGACTGGGAAGGATGCATGCCTTTCCTTAGTTCCCCCCGTGTCACGCTTGCTTGATTCTGAAACCTCAATGTTAACCCTACTTTCCTTTGATTGCCAGTCTTTCTGCTTCTAAATCTTCCTGCCAACCACCTGTTATTATCAAACTTCTCAAACACAAACCCACAGATCGGCCACCGGTAGTTATAAAGTTGTGCTCACCTCTAGGGGTTGGTGTACGTTCTGGAAGGGCAAGTACAGGAACAGTGGGGTGTCCGCCTGATGCTTCTCAACAATATCAACAACCCGGTCCGTGAAGAAGTACTGCATAGGAAGGAGATATGAAGACAATCGGACGTGTTCTAGATCCTGTGACCACACACGGCCCCCACCGCATACGGCCTACCCTCACATCTACAACTCCCTCAGTTTAATTCTTCATTTTCGAAATTAATGACCGTTTCACAACGTCCAAGATATTAAAACATGGGAGTAGAGGGAGATGGAAAGGACATGAAGTCATGACATGAGTGTGGAGACAACGTTGAAGAGTCAAAGCTCTACTCACAGTGCCGTATTGTCCATTCTTAGTCTTCACCACGTCCTTGTCGTCCCTCAGATCAAGTCCAGTTGCTTGGATGTTAGAAAAATAAAACATGTAGCAGGTCGAGCATAAGTTCAAAAGGGTAAAACCCAAACCACAATAGACTGGACACCAGGGTGCGTCTATTAGTGCAGTATTCCTATGATCTTTTAATCGCTCATCGGTGAATTATTAGTAGAAAAGCCGGGCCTTACCGACAACGTGAGTGTAGTAGTCCTCCGCTCCGTTGTAGTAGCCGTAGAAGGAGTCGAACCCGCGGTAGGTCGGAGTGTACTTCCAGTTGCAGAATCCCAGGTGCCACCTGGGGACAGAATATACAGTAACCCCCTCTTCAGATTAGGGTCGCGAAAGCGCATTGAAGCAGGAATCCATCGAAGACGGATTCATGTGGCCCCGTCTGAACGATACTGAAGCCTTTAAAAATGGCAGTAAATGTCAATATCAGACAGATTTCCCTAAGTATCCAGCTTATTTTTTTTTGTCTCCCTGAAATTTCAATGGATGCCTTTAACACAACGAAATATAATGGATGCCTTTAACATCTCTCAGTGTAATGAGTAGAGATGTGGTGCTGGAACCGCGGTGAGTTCAGCAGACTTACTTGCCCACCATGTGCGTGGCGTACCCCAGCGCCTTCAGCTTCTCGGGAAGGAAGGTGAAGTTAGACGGAACGTACGAGGCCTGCCAGGGGAAGATCACCTGATGCTGCAAAACACGAGGAAATAAAACACGGCAGTTAGTGATAGCAGACTTCACCTGCTTACACATCCTGCTTTGCGAAGGAGGCCAGTGCCTTAGACAATAGTAGTAGTACTGAAGATGTGTATATGGCAACTTTGCATTGTGTATATTTGGAAATGTTTGATAATAGCGTATTTTTCGACATACAACGGTACAATTTTACAAAGTTATGTACTGTACGTATTCACACTTTAAGTACAAAGGACTGTACCTGAGTGCCCACGTGGTAGGGGTAGTATCCGGTCATGAAGGCTGTTCTGGACCTGTTTACAACATTCAAACGTTTACCGTGATCAACAATATCATCGCAAGGACAGGACATATACAAACTACAGTACGGACACACACACACACACACACAGTCACACAATCATACACTCAGACGCACACTATACACATGAAAGGATCACTTTACATTAACAGTCAGTAGAAAAATTTCGTCTTGAAAAATTTGTTGAGAAGTTTCTGACGAAACTGACGGCGTGCAGACGTAGTTGACGTAAGACTGGTTGAAGATGACGCCTTCATGCGCCAGCTGGTCCAGAACAGGCGTCTTGACGTCAGGGTTGTGCCAGCCGACGTCATTCCAACCTGGAAACACGGGAGAGGTCAGTCAGGATTTCATCAGTGAGCGAAGACAAAAAAAATATTTGTCACTTACTTAAAGACGGCGCACAAAGTCGACGAGCTTGGACATATTTGTTGGTCGCTAGAAGGTCACCAAATTCTAAAGTCGAACGTACCTACGCCAGAAAAAGGCCCACCAGTTGTACATGACCGTTTTGTTTAACCTGATTATGATTATGTATTCTCTTTTAATATTACTGTCAGTATGTTCGTTATATGTTTTGAACCCTGGAAGAAGAAAAATGGAGTTAGCGCGCGGGATGGGTGTAGCGGTATAGTAGCATTCTCTGATGATGACTTAGGGGCAAAAGACTGAATTTTTTTTATTCGCCCGCGCGCACTAGTTTGGGGGTCCTCAGAGGATGACGTCCATAAAATTAAGACGGCGTGGCATTACCAGGGTCAAGGACCGTGAAATGGACTCCGGTACGTGGCCTATGCCAACTTCAGGATGGGCAACAAGTGTTTAATTACTCAGGCACGATTCTGGATATAGTCAACTTGTAACCAGAACTGTGCTTGGGGCATATCTATGTTCTTTAGTAGAGTACAATGTCTATACGCGAAGACTATCCACAAAACTTGTGACGTATTCTAGATCTAACCATATTCAGGATCATTCAGGCACAAGGGGGCCTATGTAGCATGAGATAGAGGCAACTAATCCGTGGCCCAACGACGGGCAACAGGCCTATCAAACTGATAATTACATGTAGTACTAAGTATTCTCTGTCAGTACTGTCCTTACCCAGGTCGTCGGCCACGATAAAGACGATGTGTGGCTTGGTCGTGTTCTTACTTCCGGGTTGTGCAGCTGAGCCCAGGGCCAGGGCCCCCATAAGCAGTACCACACGCAGCATATTGGCTTCTAGTGCCGGTCTGGTGGCGTTTTTAAACACGGACTCTATTTATAGAGATATTATATCGGCAATCTAGAGCCACGATCTAAAACAAATGCCCGCTACAAACAATCACACCCCCAGTCAGTCACATGATAGTCTGTGGGTGTGCGCTTAAGGTCATTTCATAGGGAGCATGGGTCAATGACCGAGCGCACACCACCGCCGTGTGGGCAAAGATCACTATTCATTAGCCTCTACCAGGCTTCTGAGGGGGCTGGGTAAAAGTGTACTCCCTTAGGGACTAACTTCGCTTACATGTCATCTGTCAAAATTGGCCAATTTGTACTTTTCGACCTCCTCTGAAGCCTGATAGAGCCTCACGGCGCAGCCATTGCATCAAAACGGTGCCTGAATGGGTTTGAGTTTAAATCGTGTGCACGTGTGGGGATCAAGTAGTTCATTGACCGACCGCACACCGCCACCGCTTCACTCATATGACTGAAGTGTGATCATTAGTATCCGCATGCCCCAGAGCATTACCAGACTTCGGATTATTAATTGTTAACATGGGAGTGGGCGGGCATTTGTTTTAGATCGTCACTCCCCCTTTATACAAACTTAAGGTGACAGTGTGTTCCAGTGTTCTTATGCTGGCCAAGCGTAGTCCGACCACTCTCTCATCATGTGATCGTTACTAACCGCATGACCTGAATTTTAAGACAAGTCATCTCCTGGCAAGATGCAACTGAGAAATCTAATATGTAGGTCCCTTCGCACCTACACCAACACACAGTCATATACTCCACACACTGTCTACCATCCCTCTATCATTTTTGGTCAACTTTGTTTCACATCAATTTTATTCTTTTACTGGTAAATGTAAAAACAATATATTACATTGACTTTCAGGCAACATGTTAATCTCCATTTCAGTTCATGCTCCATCAGTTTATCAATAGTTACATATAATAGTTCATTTTCCTGTGTTATCTATGTTCTGCATATCTAATTTGAATGTCATACCATTTATTCTGAATATGTATAATATATATACTTTTATTGAACTGATTTTGTAATTTATACTGTATTTTTAGATTTTACTCCATACAATATACTATAAAGCACACTGGATAACAAAAATAGCCTGCTGACTGACATGTCTGTGGACTATCTGTCACCTTCCTCAGGGCAATACTGACTGGATCTACTTCCCACTGAATGTCCCAGTGATGTCTCTTATCTCTTTACATTTCCATACCTACATGTATACGTATATAGACTGGAGTGCTGCTTCTTGCCACTATATGTACATGTGTAGTTCTCCAGTCAGAAGCTCTGAGGAAGGTGACTGATAGGCATCAAAACAAAAGCAGGTGAGGGAAGTAACAGTTGTCTACAAGAACACTCCAGTATCTTTACGCAATCACAGTTTGCTCTGAGGTGGCTGAGTTGGAGTGTCCTGACTGAAGAATGTGCTGATGTGAGGTGCCACTACCTCTGAACTGTTCAGGTGAACATGGTGGTTTCCCTCCACTTGTATCTCTGTAAACTGTGCAAAAACGAAGTAACATTGAAAACATATAAATCTATTTAAGGCCACAGGAACATCTATGTAAGGCCACACTAAGTTTCTTTATTCTTGGAGTTATAAAAAATTAATAATGATAATAATAATTTTCAGTTCAAAACACCTGTGTATTATTTTAATTTTCAGTTCAAAACACCTGTGTATCAAGAAAACAAATTTGTCTATAAGGACTTAAAAGGAAAATAATGGGAAAATACAGTCATCTGGATAATTCATCCTGAAAAATTGTAATTCTGGACTGACAACATATTAAACAATTGTACCTGGCTACTGTTGGCTTTGAAGAGAGGGAGAAACCTCTTTCCCCTTTCCTCTTCCAGTGCGTTTCTCACACTTTGTGTGGCCCTGAAGCAGGGAAACAATAAGACTTGTAGACTTTATACATGTATATATGACAGAGGAGACATTGCAAGCTGAATCCTAATCGGAGTCATTTTTCTGTGCATGTGGATATTCAGAATTTTTTAACTTCAATTGCATGTATCTTTAGATTAATGGATTGATTAATAAAATTTTTAACAAGGGAAATCGTACATTTCAAACCTCCGGGTTTTTTTTGTGTTCTATTGGTTTAGGTTATTTGTTTGTGTGTAGTATAAAAGTTATGTGCGTAATATGTTTGTATGTGTTTGATGGCTACTGACGGTTGGTTCGGTATGGACTGTTGATTAACGTGTCTCACAGTCTGACAGCCTGCACCGTCACCCGCGCCATTACCCCCGCCGTCATCCCGCGTCGTCATTGCTGCGCCGTCACCCAAAATTTTTATCGGAACCAGACACCCCTCTGTTTGACGCCTTTTGAATGCTAAGACCCAAAACTGCAACCGCCCCATTCCTTAACAACATGGTAATTACCATTTTCAGCATGGCGGGGGTGTCCTCACTCACTCTCACTCAAGTCCGCATGCTCCTAGAAGCGTAGCGCCCCGGCAAACTGTCCTCCAAGCACTTCTGTTCTGCGCCGCTGCCCAGGCTGTAGTTAGGTTGTAGCCCGCTGCTCTCAGGTCTGATGACAGGACATCCAGCCACTTCTGTCTGGGCCTGCCCCTGGGTCGGGTCCAGTTAGTAGGTGTGGGTTCCAGCAGTAGTCTGGCTGGTTCTGAGGGCGGAGATGATCTGGCGAGGTGGCCGAAGAGTCGGAGGCGGGCAGCTCGAATCTTCTGGGAGACTGGAGGCTGGTTTGTTGACCGGCGTAGGGCGATGTTGGTGACACGGTCATACCACCTAATCCCCAGAATCCTGCGCAAACATTTGGCATCGAAAGCATCTAAGTGCCGCTCCTGTGTGGACGTCAGAGTCCATGCTTCAGCACCATACAACAGGATGGAGAGGACTAGGCTGTTGTAGAGCCTGAGCTTGGTATGCACTGACAGCCGTCTGTCGGACCAGATCTTACTGAGGTTGGCCATCGCTGTGGCGGCCCGGGCAACACGGATCCTGATATCAGCCGAGCTTTTGCAGTCGGAGGTGATCGTGCTACCGAGGTAGTTGAACTTGTTGACAACCTCCACCTCATGGGAATCGATCACTGGGGGAGCAGGAGGCGGTTGGAAGTCGCTCAAGCTTTGGACCTTAGTCTTTCCCCAGCTAATCATCAGTCCGAGGGGTTGTGTCTCCAAGTTCATGGCTTCCAGGGCATGCTTGAGCACCTGTACTACTTCGGCAAGAATGGCTACATCATCCGCATAGTCCAGGTCGGAGATGGTGACGTTGCCAAAGCTTGCACCACAGCTGCTCTGGGATACTGTCTTTGCCATGACATGGTCAATGGCGGTGTTAAAGATGGTGGGAGCCAAGACGCACCCTTGTCTAACGCCACTGTTGATGGTAAAGGGATCCGAGGTCTGTCCGTTGACACGGACACATGACGTAGTGTCTGAGTACAAGAGGGACAGAAGGTCCAGGAGTTTGGAGGGCACACCGAGGATCCTGAGGACTTTCCACAGGCATTGTCTGTCAACAGAATCAAATGCTTGTTTCAAATCGACGTAGGCAGCGTACAACGGCTTCCTGAATTCCCTCCTCATCTCAGCTAAGAGCCTGAGAGAAAGGACTCTATCCACCGTGGAGCGCCCGGGTGTAAACCCACTCTGCTCCGGACGTTGCTTGAGGAGGAGAAGGGGACGAAGCCTTGCAAGAATAACATGGGCAAAGACTTTCCCTGGAACACTAAGTAGTGTGATGCCCCTATAGTTGTTGCAGATGTCCTTTGGGCCCTTCTTCCAAAAGGGAAGAATGACTCCATGACGCCAGTCTGAAGGAATGGTGTCAGATTTCCAAATGGCGGTGATGAGCCTATGTAACCACTGTGCCACTGCTGGGCCGCCTTTCAGTAGCAGTTCTGGAGGGATGCCGTCGCCACCGGCAGCACGTCCTGACTTGAGCTTGTCTACCGCTTTCTGCACTTCATCCACAGTGGGTGGATCAGCTGAGATGGTAGAGTCCTCAGTGGCCAGGTTGGCTAGGGCCTCCAGCTGCGGGGACGGGGGTGGCGGCGGGCGGTTCAGTAAGCTACTGAAATGTTCCTTCCAGCGGTTCAGCTGTTGCTCCTGCGATTCCAGGTCTGACCCGTCAAGGGCCTTTACGCTTGATGTTGGAGGAGTTCTTTTCCCAATGAGGGTCCGCAATGTCCTGTACAAGAACCATGGTTACCTGTACGGGCGGCAGTCTCTGCTTGGTCGGCGAGGTCATCGACCCACCGCTGCCTGTCCTCACGGAGAAGTTTGTTGCGTCTAGAGTTCAGACGTCTATATTCTTCTCTGTGACCTCTTAGTCTGGCTCTTCGACGAGCCTCCACCACGCTCAGCGTTTCTTCGGACAGGAAGTGCTTCTTCTTTTTTGGACCTACGGTATCCGAGAGTCCTTGAAGCGGCTTTCGTGATACTTTGTTTGAAGTCCTTCCAGATTTTCTGTGGGTCATCCACTTCATCTGTGGCCGACAGAACAGAGAATCGGTTTTTCAACTGAAGTTGGAAACGGGGGTGTCCGGAGCACTTAAAAACCTTTTATTTCGACGCCCATAAACACATATGCAATTAAACAAAAACGTTCTGCATCATCTGCAGCCCAATAGCAATACGTATACCGAACCACAGACAAATCCGTCCAGCCGATCGCGAGAAACAGCTACTGACAGAAATGTTTCAAACCATAGTAAAACCTCCTCGCGGAAGGATATCTCCTTCCCCGGAGGTAATGACCTAACAGTACCTGAGCATCAGAACTGGACACTTCACTCCTTTCACCAACTCTTCCGCTTGTTCAGGTGTTAAGCTGAAAAAGCTCAGCTGACAACAAAATAAATAAAAAGTCAGAAACCACACTTATATAACTTTATCCATGAAAAAAACATTTTACTTGTAGAATTCCCAGATATCAATCAGATTATTCGGATCTTTGTGTAAATACAAATTCTACAGTATTAGAAAGTTTTCTCTCTCTCTCTCTATATATATATATATGTGTGTGTACCATTCTTAACTCTAGTGAACTTACATTTTTCAAGTTTAGGTCTCTTGTATACACAAAACCTGTAAATGAAGCAAACAATAAATGCAGTAAATGCAATGTGGTACATTATGAATCCACACATTCAGCACTTATGAGACAGAGTATGGGAGTTGAACAGTCACTCTAATACCAAAGCTCCTCGGCAAAAGTAAATTATGTGTCCCAAGCACTACCATAGAAACAGATCTAGACATGTACATGCACACCAAAAGTTTTAACTTTCTTCAGTGCCCAATTTACCGTTAACTTTTCTATGACTTTATATGGTGTAATCAAATAAAATTTTACCTCCTTCCACCTCTCTGCTTCCCCGTTCTAACAGTACGGCCCCAGCCTCTCTGGTCACCCAAGGATTCCCCTTCAGCAACCTGAAAATAGAAAAATTTTAACTTTCAGCTTTCATACTGGACTGATGAATTCAGTATAGCCATGGACCATTTGGCCAATGTGATCTATTTTTTTTCCCAATGATAGGAGCATTCAGTATCTTGTCACCCTGTCCACAAATATTCCATATTTCATAATCGTTAGCCCCCTTAATAAGCAGTTTTTGCTATAACAGTATAAGAAACAAAATTACTTGTGAAGAGCCTCTGTCCTGCTGTACACATGGGGAGGAAGTTCTGATGTCTTCTCCACTTCAAACCTCCTTTTCACAGCATCTTGTAGTCTTTCTACTGTTCCCTCCTGAAAGTAGACCATTTGCATAAATAAGTCTGTCATTGGTGAAAAATACAAAGTCACACATACATTTCAATCTTCTCTCATCTGCCCAACCATGAAATCAGTCGACAGTTGGTAGCCAAGTGCTGTAACTGGTAGACGCCTTTTGGGTGGTACCAATTTACTAATCATTGAAAATGCACAGTTAAAATGAAGTTCACATATAAACCTACAGCTTTAAACAATGTGAAGCACAGAAAATGTAGAAAAAATGTTGGTTCTTACTAGCGGGCGATCGACAGGACCTGACATGTCCAACAAGGTCAGCCTCTCTACACTTGATGGGAAGACTGCAGAGTACTATAGACAGGGATAAAAACATGGGTTAGGCCAGAGCAAGTCAAGTTCATGGATTCCTTATTCCCTGATGATGGGAACAAATTAATGAGATGCCTAAATTTTCAAAATAGAGATCATAGGTGTTGTAACAATGAAATGACAAAACATGGTATCACAGTCACCAAGTCATTTATTCAAGAAGACTGGTGCAATTTATTTTTCAAACATTCTTACATTGCCTTCCTGGATTATGAATAAACATTATGATTGTTTACACTTGTGCACAAATGACAACTGAAATACTATGCATCTTATACAACGAACAATTTGCTAAACTTTTCACTTTGCTTCGTGAATATATGTAAAGATCCTGTCAGACTCACCATAATTGCAACACTGCCTCCTGGAGCAAAGAAAGGAAGTGATACAGTTTATAGATATCCAAATTCAACCTTTTCCCTAATTAATAATACATGGGACTGTATACTATTAGGTAAAATTTTATAAACAGAATTTTGTAAGTCAAAAAGGAAAACATCAGCATTAAAGCAACCGTAAATATTGTGTTATCAGTCAGGAAACTGGAAACACGTTACAATTTTTTTGCCTTAGAGATTTTCCCAGGTTTGACTGTATTATTATGTTTTTGTTCACTCACCCATACTGTGCCCAATCAGAGAAAACTTCTTCCAGCCTAGGGCTGAAAGTAAAGACAAAAGTATCATGTCATTTTCAGAGAAAACTAGCAGTATTAACATCACAGTTTCTTCCAAAAAGTACCTGGGGTAGTACAGTGAAATACAAACTGTAAGTGTAACATTACTCTAAGCTATCTTGTGGTGAATTGCTTTTGAGGCAGAAGGGGAAAGGAGCCTTTTGCAATGTTTTATTAAGTTTGCTATTGAAACAATTTGATTTTTCCTCACTTGTAACCAATTTGTAACAGATTCTGTAGTATTATATACAGTACATTAGAAAAGCATATTCATGGCATCAAAAATTTGTGAAGGGGTAACCACGGGAATAAAACCACTGAAAACCTTAAAAAATTTACAGTAAACAAACAACACACTAAACACAGACCTTGTACGACCCTGTGCACATCTATGAGGTAGCTCTCATTCTTGTAGCCGGTGCCGGGAGGTATGGGAGAGGAGCGGCCATGTCCAGGCAGGTCCAGACTCACAAAGTACAGATCTACAGCAGTCAAACAGCACATTCAATGGATAAAAATTGACACACACACTCAATACTAAACAGTCCAGGACCTCTATATGCATGTGGATTAAAACTCTGTACTGTTCACTTGCACAGTAATACAAAATGTATGTCATAGTCTGTCATAGTCTAATTGACTATATGTAAGATTTAAACAAATATATAAAAGACTATAAAACAGTATCACTTTGTAATCCCTGAGGTGTGTGTAACACATCAGATATACAGGAGTTCAAGACACTCTTGTGGCCTTGATAAAACAACTTTTGGTGAAATTATGAGAGTTGTCAGCTAGTGATACTAGTACCCTAGGCAAATCTCCACCCTTACTCCTAAGCACCCAAGCAAGAAACAGTTCAGTGAGACCTTTAGGCAGTAGTGGTGCCAGGGTGTCAAACGTGTTGGCGTTGTCCAGGTAACCATGGAGACCGAGTACAGGGCGGCCGAGCGGGTCTCCCCAGGCCTTCCCCGCGATGTGGCCCCAGGGGACGGGGAACTGCAGCTCCTGGGTCAACCCTGGGGGTGGGGAGGGGGAAACATGCGAAAAGATATTCTTTACACTTCTCTTAGCCACACATACATACATACATACATACATACATATCCAGGCTTTGATTATTCTGCTGCCGGCCTCTCAGAGGTGGGAAGTAGTCAGTTAGACTTTACTCCACGCAATTCAATTTATTGGTTCCTGGAGTCTGTACATCTTGTGTTGTGTGTAGAGTAGACTATTCTAGATCTGCTAGTTCTGCGTGCAGGTTAGCATCCTTGCCAGGTGTAATGTTGTAACTCCTCAAGTTTTCATTCAAGTAAATTCCCATACCTCTCTCTGTTGTCCCAACATACACGTCTCCCTCACTTGTGCTCATAGCCATAGCTCTGCAACTTAAGACCTTTCCTGAACTCTGGAGTGGAAATAATACGTTTTGTATAAAGAAAACATCAATCATTACTTCCTAATTAGAAGTTGACCTAAAGGTTTCTCGGAAATTCTGAACACGAAAAGTTTGTGCATCAAATTTTTAACTGTCCTATACTGCAGTCTTTCTCAGAATATGCCATGTCATCAAAATTCACACTAGGAATGAAACCTTTCGAAACTTACTTGGATAAACTGGAGCCTTTGGAGAAGAGGAAAACTGGAACTGATAGACATGGAAAGTGCGCCCCCTGCCAATCTGCAAAATTACTGCATGATGAGGACTCATGCAATAAAAGGCATAAAAGCTGTAGAAATGCATCCTGAGCATGGAAGTTTAATGGTCTGTGTGGAAATTCTCAGGCTTGCTTTTAGTTATTTCTCTACTGTTCCATTTTCCCAATCAGATAGGAAAAGTCTAGATAAACTTTGGATCATTGTGTAACACTGTAAAGGCAATTTCCCTAATGTCAAAGATAATATTATAATGAAATACTACTTCTAAACTTGAGAAATATAATCAAAAACAAAAGAATGATTATACCTAACAGAATTATCATGAGGTGTATCATCATTACCATTATGTTATGATGATACATTTTTGGGACCATCTTAAATCAAGGAGCTTTCATTCAGGTCAATCAAGGACATTAAAGTTATTAACGTTTATATTGTCCTTGGTTCAACCGACCATCGAATGTGTAGTGCGGTGGTGTCAGATATAGAAATGTATACGGGATTATGAAAGTCCGAGGTAACAAAGTCATCACATGTGATCATCATATAACGTTATAACTGTTAAGTAGTGAGATCACACAAAAAATTAACATTCTCAGGAAATGTGACGGCGATAGTCTTCAAATCAGGTGAGTAATTTGAAAAACAAACACTTACATAGACGTTTGTACTGCCAGGACAGTCTCAAGACGTCTTGTGGACTCAGGAGCCTCCTTGAAGTGCCAAATCCTTCTAACACCGGCCAAGTACCTTTCGTTCAACGTTTGCTAGGTCATTAACCTTTAACCTCAACATAGTGTTGATGGCAGCAGCACAAATTAGCAAATCGAATGTATTCGTCTATAACATGTTAGTAACGTTACATTAATAAGATGTAAAATTTTTTAGTTATTCAAACCTCTTTTACGGTTTTAATACAATGAAATATTTATTATTCTACTCTTTTTAAGTTGATTATTTTAACATAGTTAGAGTTTGTTTGGTTGCGCTCCCGTTGTTATGGTGCATGACGGGAATCTTGCCGTGTCCAGGCGTGTGATCGTGACATCAAAGCGGTAGGTTTAAATGCCTTTATACTGCGTTATATGACCGTTCTGTAGGAGTTCATAGCATAAACTACTTCTCAAACAACTAAACGTTGATTTTGCATGGACCTCTCTTCGATCAAGCCACGTCTGATACGCAACGAAGTGCACGTGAGATCGAATTCTTGGGGGAAGCAGCTTTTACTTTCACTTGTCAAATTTCCATAATCTTTTCCAGATGTCAGATACAGTTACTTGTTACTTCCGGGTACGGAAGGGCACTGTTTTGGATGGGTTGTCGTCCATGGGCTTATGTGTACATGTATGATGTAGGTTTATCCAGACAAATTAAGTTGACAGCATGTGGGTGGGGAAGATTGACTGACAGGTCACAAGGTCAGGCATAGGAAATGGGGTCCCAGAATCTGGCCGGGACTTGAGTCAGCAGGAATAAGAGGTTGAAATTCCAGCTCAGAAGTTCACAAAATCCCCAAATCCAGACATCATGAATGTCTGATTTCTTCTTGTTTTTCAAATATTATATTTAAATTTCATATCTATCATGCATTTTTTTTTACACAGTTGCAGGAAAATTCTTCAGCTAGAACAATGGAAGTGAGGAACAGCAAAGTTGAGGAACCAGACCTTGCATCAGAAAAGCGTCTTCAAACCTTCCTCTCGAACCAACAACTGCCTCAAAAACACCAAGCAGAGCAGGAAGAAAACCATGTTTTGTGTCTTAAGTCACTGGACCTTACATCCTTACCGGAGTCTGTCTTAGACCTGACACATGTTGAGCAGCTTGTGTTAGACCATAACAGTCTTACCTCTGTACCTGATCAGTTATGCAACACTCTGACTCACCTGCGCATTCTCTCTGTCATGGGGAACGACCTTGAGGAACTCCCCACATTGTTTGGAAACTTGACCTTCCTGAGGGAGCTCCATGCCAGTGAAAACTGTCTCCAAGAACTTCCAGATTCCTTCTCAAAGCTTAAGGAGTTGAGAAGACTTGACCTTACAGGGAATGAGTTGAGGATGTTGCCCTGCGACTTTGGTTGTTTGTCACACTTGGAAACCTTCATGGTGGATGAGAATCACCTGAAGGCATTGCCCAAGACGTTTGGGTCCTTAAGAAGACTTGAGACATTTGACGCTTCCAACAATAAGCTAGAAACCTTGCCAGAGACATTCGGAGGACTGTCTAGTCTTAAAGTCTTGAACCTCAGCTCCAACAAACTGTCTTGCCTCCCAGGAAGTTTTGGAGATCTTCCCAGACTTCAGGAGGTAGAACTGTCTGGGAATTCCTTGAGCTTATTAACCAAAGACTTGAAGTCGTCCCACTGCTTAAGGAAGCTCTATGTCGACAATAATGTGCTGAAGGAGTTACCTTCTTGGGTCAGTGTTCTGTCATCAATACAAGAACTGTCATTGAGGTGAGATACTTCTCAAGACATCTTCAACTTAACTTCTTAACTCCTGAGGGAAACAGATCATTTATTGATCTTTTAATCTAAAACAAGCTTTACAAGAATAAATTTATGAGTGATGATAGTGACAGAAGTTTCCCATTAGGAATGAGTCAGAGGGAAAGTCATTGTTTCTTGCAAAGATTTCTTTGCAACTGTTTTCCTCTTTGCAACTATTAAAGTATTGTTATGCTAGACTTATGCAGTTGAAATAGGTTTGTATACCAGGCTATCCGAGTATAATGAAAACAAATTGCTTTGACATCAGTTTTGGTTGAATCAAGGAGCCTTCATCACATCACTGTGATGAAAGCTCCTTGGTTGAATGTTGAAGCACCCCATGACCTGCATGAGTTTAATTATTTTTCCACCTGTCAATGTTCAGAGACAACAAGCTGATGAACCAGCCGCTCCCCGAGTGCTTTCCTGCGTGCAGCGGCGGGACATTACGGGTTCTGGATCTGAGTGGGAACTTCATCACGACTCTACCGTGCTCCCTGGGTCAGCTGGAGAGACTGGAGAGCCTCCATCTGGGCAGCGCCATCGGAGAACTGGAGCGGAGACACTTCCAGAACGGTGGGTAGGGCTGTAATGTCACTGAAGTTTAGACATCCAGAATGAAACATGCCACTGGTGAAAGATAGCAGATGTAAAATATCTGAAATCTTTGGCTCACAGAATTTATTCAAGTTGCTAAGTCCTAGGAAAAAAGTGTTGTGTTTCCTGTTTCCCAACTGACCCTATAAAAAACTGCTGACCCCAGCCTTTTTTTGTGTGGATCCCTGCAAGGGACATAAATTTTTCATGCTGATCGACCTTTTCTTGTACATGTATCTGAAATGTTTGGCTCAGAGAATTTATTCAAGTTGCTTGATTTACAAGGAGAAGGGCTGTATCACTTAGATTGTGGTCAAACCTATCAAACTATTTTTTAATGCCAGCAATAGTATCTATAAATTAAATTTACATTGCCATTGGGCTTTAGAAACTATTTGGACCATGATTCACTAATCAAAATGTTTTTTTTATTTTTTCCTGTTCTATTCCGTTTTGTTTTGGTTTGGTTTTTTCGTTGTCCCTCTCAGTCATATCTGCAGGTGATTTCTTAAACCCCACAGGAAACTGGCTCTGTGTCCTTCCTGAGAACTTCGGCAGCCTCAGACACCTGAAGACGCTCCATCTCGATGAGAACCAACTCACACACCTTCCAGAAAGTTTTGGCAGCCTGAAGTGCCTTGAGTTCCTTGACGTGGGACAGAACTGGCTCAAGGAGCTCCCCGATTCCTTCTGTGACCTCAACAACCTACAGGTAGATTTTGTAACAAAAATAATTTCATCAGGTTTGTAGGACAAAGAATATTGGGGTTTTCTTATAGACAACCAGTACATCTCTCACCAGGACAGAGTTTCTGACTGGAGAACTAGTATACTGCTTCTCGTTGCTATATGTAGCTTAGTCACAGGGATTGTGTTATTGCCACAAAAGTGCCACTTACATTGTCTAGATACAGCAGCAAGAAGCAGTACTCTAGTCAGAAGCTAAGGAAGGTGTCTAATAGGCATATACAAGGTGACAGAAGTAATGGTTGTGTACTGTATATAAGAAAGCCCCAATATTCTCTGTTACATGATTTTATGACATTACATTTTCTTTTCATCTAGCAGTCAATATCCTGTTACACAACTACTTTTTGTGTTACGTGCATATTCTAGTAGATAGATTTCTGAAGAGAGTCCTGTTTTATTGTTTCATTGAATGTCTTCTTCTGTACCTGCACCTGCCACAGTTCTGTCAGCTGTCCAAAAACCACCTGCAGCTGTTGCCTATCAACTTTGGGCGCCTGTCCTCCCTGGTTGACCTCCGCCTGGACAACAACATGCTTGGGGAGCTCCCAGAATCCTTTGCAGCGCTGGGTCAGCTGAGGACGTTGGATCTGTTCTGTAACGAGCTGAGGGAGGTTCCTGGAGCGCTGAAGTACCTGACAAACATCAGACGACTCGATATGGACAAGGTATAGATAAGGGCACAAATCTCCTACAGCCTACCACAACTAACATGCATGTACTGCCATGGTTTAGGCCAAAACAATTTAATTGGTTGGTTCTCAGCCCGTATGAAGAACACACAGCTCAACAGGGACAGGGTATTGTAGCAGGGAGTGCACATATTTCCTCTCAAAGCCATGCCATCTTTTATTTTTGGCATCAACATGAAAACAGTCTGCAGAAATACCTGTTGAAAAAAATTATCCACTGGTACAACTGTCCTAAAGCTGGTGTGTTATGCCAAAGGGTACTTATATCATCAGCTATTCAGATACAGCTTAACACACCTGTTTCACAAACACACAAAGAGCTATGTCACACCTAATCCATCCATTCATGCATCTAACTCTGTCTTTTGAAGCTATTTGATATCAGGAGACTCCTTCAACACATGTATGATAACAAAGTCTTTTCTGCTGCAGAACAAGTTTGACCTACCCCCAGAACTAGTGCCCAATGTCATCTACAAACCCACATACGCTGCCAGGGACCCTCGTCTTAAAGACACCTGGAGGGGAAGGAACAGGGCCGACCGCAACAAGGTCGAGGTCCTCAAGGTCAGGGAAACAAACATATTTTGTGTTACACCCATCAATACTTTCATCAGTTTGGTGAATGATTGGATAGCATTTTGAGTGCAACAAGAGTTAACATTTTGATGACGTTTCAGATTTTTATTGACAATCTGTCATCAAATGTTGACAGATTGTCAATAAAACATCCAAAATTCATGAAGGGTGGAGAAAACCTGTTGTCAGATCATCTGTGATGCCCCAGCCGTCAAACAGTTAGTCTGGGATAAGTAGAAGGGATGAGAATTGTAGAATGTTGCTGTAGTTTTGTTGTGTTAATAAATATGTCTGTGATCCAGCTGGATCCTCTGCCCAGTGAGGAAGAAGAGGAAGAAGAGAAGGAGGAGCCAATCCTGTGGAACGACAGCATCCTGCGGCAGGCCATGAAGAAGAGCATGTCACTGTGGAGGTCTCACACCAGCGAGGACGGGTCTCACGCCAGGGTGGAGAGGTCTCACACCAGGGTGGAGGGGTCTCATAACAGTGTTGAGGATTTGCCCAGGGCCTTCAACAGCCAGTTTTCAGAAGAAGAGGCCAGCGCAGGGGAAAGCACAGGTATACAAGGCCTGTTTTTTTTTCTGCCAGATGTATGATACATTTGTATTGTTACAATGTGCACAGTGGCCAGTTGATTATCTAAGACAGAAAAAAGACTATTATACTTAAGTATTTTTGATGAATCTTATTAAATAGATGAATGGAAAGCATATCTTTAAAAGTTACCCTGCCCTGACGTGTGAATTTGTTCATTTTCAGAACTAAGAGAACTGTGATTCTAAAAATCTACAATTCAGTACTTTGTTAACTTTTGGTCTCTTGCAGTTCCTTGTAGGACTGATAGAGGGAGATGGTGCACATGGTTACAGTTTATAGGTAAACATCTAATATTGTTACTCCCCCTTTTGTATGCAGGTACAACCACACCAGAGTCTCCAGTGTCCCCCACATTCCCATCAGCCACCACTTCTTTTGTCCCTGAGACAGAAAACTGGGAAGATGAAATTGAGGACGTCTGTCCATGGGGTAAGAAACTGCCTTGCATAAGATTGTACTAATACTTACATTGTGGGTGTCACACCAAAGGACTGCAAGCTTTGGTACAAAGCACTGCCTAGTCCAGTGTCTAGTGCAGTTCTAGTTGAAAGCTAATCTTTGCATCATTAATGAACAACAAATAAACAAGAAACTCTAAACATTACATGGTGGTATGAGATCATCCTTGAACTCTTGTATCTTGAAGTTTGTATTTTGTAACCATGTTTTGTTGTCTCCAGACACGCCGGTGTTCTACAGGCACCCTTCGCGCCGGGACAAGGTCGTGTCTGGGATGCAGTTTGTGCCCTGCAAGGATCACGTGGAGCCGGTCGTTAGGGTACGCTTCCTGTACGAGGTGGAGGACGGGCAGTTCGAGGACGCAGACGAAGATGTGGAGTCATTGTCGTAAACCCACTTGAAGTCATCATAAACCCACGTGGAGTCATCGTAGACCCACGTGGAGTCAAAGTAACTATATAACATGCTGGGTCAAAAGTGGCCTTTCACACCACCAACTTTTCAAAACGGAGCTAGCCAAAGCCAAATTGCACTCACTACTAAAGAAAAAATTGTCTTTTATCAGCAGAAAGTAGTTGTACTAGATTGAGGATGGGAGTTCAATAGTGTACTCCCAAGAGGAGTTACTGGTGAAACTCCAAAGGACACATGTGTGCATCCATAAGGAAAAGATGATCATATGTCACTCAGAACTCACTTCTTAATAGTCAGAGCAGAGTTCACACCAAAGTACAAATACTTACTAGATAAGGGCAAGATAGTTTAAACTATAGAGTGAACTATTTTGTGTATCAGAACTGATAGCCTATTTTCATACATTTCTTTCCATCTTGTGAGAGTGTGAAGACAAGAGCGTGTGCAAACCTTTAGTTTCTTGTAAGAAGACAGAGTACACATTAAAGAATCTTCCAGGTTTCTTTAAACAATCTTGAGAAGGTTTTAATCCTTTATATCACACACTTATAATTCTGCCTCAAGCCTTCAATCATATCATCATCTCAAAGTGTTCTTGTGGGTTGAAGCAATGCTTGATATCTTCGTCATCATAGTGTCTTAAAGATCTGTACAGATCATCTTCACAAAGTTTGATACAAACTTTCTGTGCTATTCTACTGGTAATTGTCCCTGTTCATTTCAGCGATGAAAGTTTCCATCCATATTGTGCAGTCTCTCCCAACATAAAGTTAGGAAATATCTCAATGATCAATGTCACGTTTCCATCTCTTTATTTACGGTATGCGGCCAATGTGGTCCCACTGGCTGTTGGCTACTTCAAAGGGGTACCGGTGTCTTTAGCTAGGTCACGTAGAATGGACAGGTTTTTTGTTCAGTGCATACCTGGGCGGTCCTTATTGTTATTGATAAGTGTTGTGGGTTCTTTAACGTGCTGGAGTTGTCACTGTCCTCAAACGCGGGACCTCCAGATTCATGTAACGTTAGTTGCTTCATGGTGTAGCGTCCAATGTTCTTCACAGTCAGGGACAACATCTTTTCTTGCGAGAAAAGTCACAGCACAGTATTCTCTTGTACGCCTGGCGGTACGTTTTGTTGACCCAAATGTAAATAAGCGGATTGACAACCGGGTGAGAAAACAACAACATGACGCCCGGGAGGTAGGCTGCCGCCGGCGTGTCGAAGTTGTAGTCGACGAGGATCGTCGCCAGAAGCGGCAGCCAGCACACGCAGAACCCGCAGCACACGAAGAACAGCGACGTGACGAGCTTGGCGTCCTGCCGCTCGATCTGGTGCAGGCGGGCGGCGATGTTGTCGGTCCAGGCGTGGCGGGGAAGCCTCGCGCCCGGCCTCAGCCTCCGCAGCCGCCGCAACACTAGATAGATCTTCAGGTAACAGATGCCCACGGTGAGGATCACCCCGCCGGAACCGAACATCGTCCCGAGGAACATGTGCAGGTACATCCGCCTGTCCTTGTACGCGAACGTGCACATCTGCGTCTTCTCGTTATACCCGTACTTCCCGAAGCCGACGATCGGAGGCAGGTTGAAGACGACCCCGATCACCCACACGAGAATGATGTACACAAACGTCTTACGCTTGGAGAATACCTTCTTGTACTGGAGTGGTCCCCTGGTGACCAAGTAGTACCTGTCAAGAAAGTATCAAGATATCAGCATATGCAACTCTTTCAGATACAATGTACATGGCGGTGCAAAAAAGTGGTACATGTGGCAAAAAAAGCATGTACATTTGGTGACTGTGTAACATTTATTTGTTTCAATGTCATTGCTCTATGTGTAGTATGTGTATAAGAAAAACAGCAGGAAGATTAGTTAGCACATGATTTGTCATACACAAAATGGAGAGTCCTAATAAACTAACAAACACACCTGTTGACGGCAATAGCCGCCAGGTTGACGGCGGACGTGGCCAGAGCGATGCAGGTGAGTGCTCCCACAGCCTCGCACGCGTCCCCGGGAACCCACTTGGGTATGAAGACCTGCAGCCTGACCACCAGGCCCAGGCACGCGATCAGCGTGTCCAGGAAGCTCAGGTTCAGGATGAAGGCGTTGGAGGAGTTCTGCAGCTTCCTGGTGGTCATGATGGCTAGGCCGTTCAGCAGGTTGGCGATGATGCCGATCATCCCAGCGAAGTCGATGTAGAGAGACAAGTATTCGAACAGACCCCAGTCCCATAGGTTCCGGTCCGACATGTTCACACGATGGGCGCCCGTAGTGTTGACGCTATAAGCGAGATGTGCACTGTTTTCCATGACTGTTTCTGTCAGAGCCTTCTAAAAGTCACTGCAATTTTCTCACGTAGACAACGTCTTTGCAATGTGCCAATTATACTTATAGTTGATGTTGTTCTCTTGTAACAATACCGGCTACAGCTTACAACTACAGAATGGTAGCAGTGGCCAATGAGGTTAAAAATCAAATAGAAAAGTCGAATTCAAAGCTCCTTGCAGTAGTAGATCAGTCCTGCGTACGCGTGGGCCAACAGTAATATATGAATTCAAAGTCCTAACCTGTTACAGACGTTTGGGTTCTTCAAGATTCACGGTCAGAAAGCCGCAAGATTAAAACAACATCCCCGTTGACGGGTCTCTATTCTTGACAACACTTCCAAACTCAACTAGGGTGTTGTTGCCGCCTTTTCTACAGAAACTCAGAAGATTAGATGTTTGACAGTCAGTCTTGGAGAAGCTGGAAAAGTCAGTAGTTGACTTTAAGAGTCCTGGAATCCCTTGATTCCTCGTGCGCCACACGTGATAAAGGTAGCTGATGTGAATTTTTGCCGGTGTCCATCCTCCCAACTCCAAAACAACGAATGACAACTTCACAGTAGGTTATGGAAATTTACCGACCAACTGCCTGGTGCTTCAACTATCAAAACATCGCTGTGATCACGCTGTGATCACGTGAGTCACGATAACGTCTTCAAAACACCCATTAAGGCCACGCAACTCCAGTTCTGCTGTTAATGTTTCTGCCGATGTCAAATTTGAGTTGAGAAGACGAAACATGTAGTGCCTTAGATACCAGGTTTGCGAATTTTCAGCGGTTTCATACAAATCACGACAATCTCTGATTTTTGTACAGTTTGTTGGAGGAGACACTGTAATGTTTGTATATGACGACTTTTTCCTTCAATTCGCCCGTATTTGCTACCTATGCACAACGTCGTCACTTGTTACACGAGCATCATTATCCTTTGCTGTTGAAAAACTATCATGAGCCAAAACTCAAGTGGGGTATGGCCATACAGTTAACATTGTGGATTCTTCTCAATTGGCCCCATAATGCAAATCACTCTTTTTCTTTGTCAACACGACCAAACTATATTTTCAAAATCTTTTAAATCCGTTAACTAAGGTTAAAATTAAAGTACGTATGGATGTAACTCATACAATGACTCTTGTACGGCCTCTATACCCTTTCACTTGTTGCGTCAAGCACCCAAATCTGTTTGCCTTTTCTGTTGGAAATATCCATTAGTGAGCGTTTAGCGCAAATGCGCCTCTTCCTGTTTTCGACACGAGAACCATTCGCTGTGCGTTATACGGGAATTAATTATTCAAAATGGGAAGTCGTAAGGTCGGGGCGGATGGGTGTCAAGGTCTGTGCCTGTGGTGAGCCAAGCCAAGGTCACATCAAGTTGAACTTGATCAATCTCCAGGCAAGCGGATGTACGGATTCGGCTCATTATTACGCCTGGATTTGTAATGTTTATGGAATTGCCATTTCTAAGTAGTAGTTCCCAATCTAAGTGGGGTCGTGTGGCGTAACGGTAGAATGTTCGGCTCAGACCCAATCCTGCCCAATGCCACCGATATTGTGCCCTTGGGAAAGACACTTTACACGACTTTCCTCAATTCACTCAGGTGTAAAATGAGTACCTAGCTTCGTTTAGGGACGTTACTCGGATAGGACGTTAATGGAGGTCCCGTGTTTGGAATAGGCACCCCCCACGCACGTCAAAGAACCCACCGAACTTATCGAAAAGAGTAGGGGACCTTCCCGATGTGAGTGGTTCAAACCTTACAGTCTGGTCTCAGGTTTGACATCTTTTAAGAGGTGATAGTCACCTGTTTTGTCAATCCTTCCACTATTGTGGTAAATCTTCATAGATAAATAGGTCTGTACTACAGTTGACAGAGTCGTTGCTTGATGTACCCAAGCGATGGGTCCGGTGTTAGTGGATGTTGCAGTCGTCTTTCGGCCGACCCTATGACTCTAATCACACACGGAACGATGTCGTCACTACCCGGATAATGTGGAGATTAGCGGCATGATTTGTGTGCCTGTTGCAAGGCCTTCCTGGTCTGCTTAGCAACCACGGGGACTCGGTGCTGTTATGTATCAGTTGGTAATGCACATCCAACCAAGCGTTCGGCCTTCCTTAGTCAATATTTGCCCATTATCCATGTCCATGTAGCCTGTGTTGCACAATCTCTCGCTGTCGGGCTGAATCCAGAACCTTCCCTATCTAATTCTATGCCTGAATGGGTTAGGGTATAGGATCAGGCACAGTTCTGGATAGTTTCCAAGTATCCAAGAACGTATAGATTTAATGCCTCAGGCACGGGCCTGGATACTGTGTACAGCACGGTTCTGTATACCAAAGGGCCTAATTTCCCTTGTGACCATCATTTTTACACTGGGAGTAAAAATAAGAAGCATTTCACACCAGGCCCTACAGCCATCCGTAAATACAGACGGAGGACGCTATAAACTCACTGCAACATTTGATCCACTGCTTACCGAGTCTAGTGTCTAGTATTGATATTATAATAATAATAAAAGGGACACCATTGCAGTGGTTGATTGTTCACTTCTTCACAGACTCGTATTGTACATTGTTAAAATCCTACTTCAGTATGTGTTCTACCAACACAGATGAACTTTCAAGCTAAGCACTAATATGATAACACTTGTTGAAGGTCGAGTCCTTTGTCCAACACCGGAAACGACAACCTCTTCCTCGTGGTGAAAACACCTTCCTTCTGAAACGCTCCCCACCCTGAAGCTCCTTCTCAAACAGAAATCTCTTCCGGAGGAGTACACGGACTTCATGGACGATCCCTTCCACATGGCGGACCCGCAAGCCGCAAAGATCCTGTCGCAAAACGTCTCGCACACCGTCAGGGTCTCGTAACTGTAAAACGTATTCTGAAAGCAAAAACATTTAATTTACTTGCCAAAGGAATGATAACACGGTCATGCACCGCCGATTACGTCCGCCAGTCGGCGCTACTGATTACAACATGTACATACAGTTGATCATGAAGGAGAATGTTGTAGGTAAGAGCGTAACAGATTACAGATATATCTCAAGTACCATGTATATTCAGCCAAAATGCTCTGTACCTCAGGTCTAATGTCTGCAGAAGTTTGAAAAAAGAAACTGTCTTTCTCGACCCAACTCTGAGTCTGATCTAAGCATGTCAAGTTGTCAACCCTAGTGCAGCAATCAGACATGTTTTGGAAGAGAAATGGCTGCAGTGTTGAGGCTGCTTTTATCTGGACCGGGAACGTAGAGACGTGATCTGTGGGGAGAGTGGTTCGGCGTTTTATCGTGCGCCAAACTTGCTTCCCTCAGCAGGAGATGTCGGCAGTGACGTATGTTCTGTGGAGTAAAGTGCTGCTTATCGCCCGGTCGCAGCGGGCGGGAAGAAGGAGTGGAAAGTCACCGTAGTGCATTTTGTAAAACTTTCTTTCATTTTCAGTCACAGCTTCACACGGCGACCTTGTAAGGAAAACACATACTAGTATAGTACTTTGATTGATGTTCATTGCTGCAGTCTTTTCAACCGTCCCCACTTGCCTATTGGTCCCCAGTTACTATAGGTGTAGCTGACAACATAAAAACGCAGCTGCGCCATGTACTTCTATATGTTCTTGTCCACATTGTCGTTCTGGCCAATTTGGAAACTTACAGCATCATTTATCACACGTTCATGTCGCCATTCTACTCACAAGCTACAATTGTAGGCATAACTCACGCCATATCGCGGCCTGACTCGGTGCTTTCATGAACACTATCGCCCGATCGCAAGACGGACATGAAAAGGAACCAGCCGTGCCCTCGGGCCTTCCAGGCGGAGAGCCGAGGTCGCGCAGGTTAGCGGTGATATGACAGGAGGAAAGGCCGAGGGCACAACCAGACGTAACGTGAAGATGAAAGCGGTTCGCTATGAGAAGTTTGGGGTGGGGGACAGATGGGTGGATGTTTGACAGGTACGCAATAACGTACTAATACCGCCTGTCAGACAGGACGGAAATTGATCCACAGACAAGTCTGCGAGCTTAACATGACATTTTCGGCACTAGAACACCCGGTGTCTTCTCTATCATTATGGGATTTTTAAGGATCGACTGATGTCCGCAGGCCGTCGAGCCCCGTTCAGTGTGAAAGGTAGATTCCATGTGAAAAAAAAACGCTAGACCCCTGTCGACTTTACAATCGGACGACCCTCTGGCGATCTACGAATAGTTCGTTGACTGTTTGACAGGTGTTTATTGTGTACAAAACCGCGTCTATCTAGTGCTACTTCTATGTCTGAATACGTTAGGTTAAGTTAGGCCTAGGATCAGGCACAGTTCTGGATTCGCGTGTACCATGGACCGTGTCTGAGCATGGTTCTGGATACAACAGGGTTTGAGAACGAGAGTTGACTACCTGTCTTCTTATTCTGATGCTTGAGGCACGGTTTGTTTTGGGTAAGGCGGTGAGCGATAGACAGGACACGGGCATACAGGGAATATAGAGACAGGCCGGAAGCGCCTGAGGCGATCCCAGCTGCAACTGAAAGACTGAATGTCACACGATGAAATTGACAGATGGTCAGGACATTCATATATAGATACCCTCCGGACAATAAATCTCTTGAAAGAGAAGAATATGGACACAAATTATGGCTGTGATATGCGTTGAAACATTCATTTTCATTCCAGGTATTGTCTTGGACGTTTTAGATGAAATAAAGGAGGGGATTATAGGTGTGAGGAAAGCGCATCTGATCATGATTTCTAGAAAGTAAACGGAAAATTGAAATAAGACAGAGAAAAGTATTTGTAACCATGGGTAACACTTACGCCCAGAGGAATTTCAAACATTTGCTAGAAGGCAGCACAACAATTGGATAATTGAGAGAGAGAAAGAAATAATGGATTGCTCGAAGACTGAAGTGGTGCCTAAGCCGGTGTTGAGCCAAATCCTTGAGCTGCCACGTACGTGAGAGGTCATGTGTTTAGGGCTAGGGTAAGGTTAGGGTTGGTATTAGACTTATGGTTAGGGTTAGAGTTGGGGTCATTTCTCAGGGCTAGGGTTAGACTTACAATTGGGGTTAGGTTAGGTTTTAGTCTCCCACATGACGACTGAAAATCCCAAGTACTGTCGGAGTCATGTATTTGGAAGGATCATGTATATGCGGCTTGACACCGGATCGCTCACATAAACTCACAGAAGTAAAGATTGATGTAGACCGAAGCAGTATGTACCTGTGCCGGGTCGCACACGTAACAGTACAGGAAGCTGAGCTGCTTCAGACACTCGTCCGAGGCGGCGGAGAGCGGGTAGGTGGCGAGGAAGATGATGTCGATCTCCCGCTGGAGGCAGCAGCTCCTCGCCTGGTACCAGCTGCAGTTCCGGAGGTTCGGCTGAGAGGGGACGGGGAGGGATATTGATGTCAAACCATGAAATGCATGGATAGATAACCACTAATACCAAAACCTTTTGCCCCTCCTCTGGTACAGCAGATAAAGACCCGTATCCGCTGGTTTGGTTGAGGAAGGGTATGTGTGAATATGTGGCCTCCGTCGGTCAATATTTTGACCATGGTAGACCGGTCAAATCCTGACTTGCATCAGCCCTACAGCATCGACTACGACTAAACCGGTTCAGTTCTATAATTAGAGTTCGAAAGTGAATTATTCATCCATGAGTATCAGTTATGCTTCAGTTACCATTCCTAAAGTAACGTTCTCAAATACAGGATCTAATTCTAATGCTGACAGCGCCCATCCAAGAGCTACAACAATCATAGTCAATCTAACATCATACTGCTTGTAAACGTTTCCCAAACACCAGAATTTCTCAAATACCCAGTTCTTATTCTTTTCCCTAGCTTAAACAGACTTCACAACACACCCCAACAAATTTAAGATCGCACCAGAAGTGTAACAGTGGGGTTCATGCGCCATCAACTGACCAGTCTAACAGGCCCGGACATTTGAGTCGCAAAAAGCTTTGAACATGAGAGTCATACGTCGAAGTTACATTGCTCTATTGAATTCCAAATACCTTTGATAACAAGAACTATATGGACACAACAAAAGAACAACTACATGTAGACATACAGACAGATAAGTGAGTACAACAGAATTAACATCAGGAGGGATGTACCATGAAGTGTAGTCTTACCTGTGCCGAAGGTGCTCTGTTATTGAAGAACGGGCAGTAATACGGTTCCTCCATGTGGCTTTCTTCAGGCTTGGTAACCTCACTGACACCACGTGAACTCCCTGGAGTCGCCATGTCACCCCTTCTGTCGTCACTAGCAGTTTTATCCTGTCCTGTAGTCTCTCTATCGTTCGAGTTTCTCTTACTCCTCGGGTCTTCCGTGAGCAGGGCACTTCTGTGCACCCTACCGTCATCGGACCTCTCCTTGTCCTTTCCTATATGGATGTCCGCGTCCCTTGAAGTTGAGGCAAATCCCTGCGCGGTATTTTCTCCGCGATGTGATTGTTCATGGAGCGTGATACGCTCGGCGTTGGAAGACAGTTGTTCCGGTGTCCTTATCCCGTCGCTGCCGTTCACGTGGACCGCGGCAAACATCATCGACGTCACCCCGACTGTAACCGTGAATCTCCACACCTTCAGCGCGTATCTCCTCTCACATTCTCTCCAGTCAAACAGCGATCCCGTCATATCTGCACGCCTTCTGCTGTCCTCACCACTCACAGGCACTTGCCTTGTTCTACGCGAATGAGTCTAGACCGTCCGACTGTTTCACTGCGGCCTTCACGTGCTGCGTACTAGTTAGCATACTCTGAAGGCGTTATCCTACCACATGTAGTCTACAGTCATACATCCGGATTCTGCGTGGAGGCCTCACTCTGTGCATACGTTAGCATGAATAGAAGGGTCGTCTGAGCGATGATCCTCTCCCTCATGACTGCATTGGACAAAATGCACAATAAGTGTTAGGGCAGACACTCTAGACCTGTGCATTCCAACTCTGCTTATCAGACAGCTGCACGCATTCAGCAAAAAATTATTCGAAAACGGCAGTAGGACAGAACCCCGCATGCCCTTCACCAGCCCGTACATTTACACTGACAGCTGACATACGAAAGAATCCCGCATGCCCAACACAACCCCGTACATTTTACACTGACAGCTGACGTACGACAGAACCCCGTACATCTACACTGTCAGCTGACGTACGGCAGAACCCCACATGCCCAGCTCTACCCTGTACATTTGCACTGCCAGCTGACGTACGACAGAAACCCGTACATTTACACTGCCAGCTGACGTACGACAGAACCCCGTACATCTACACTGACAGCTGACGTACGACAGAAACCACATGCCCAGCTCTACCCTGTACATTGCATTGCCAGCTGACGTACGACAGAAACCCGTACATCTACACTTGTCAGCTGACGCACGGCAGAACCCCGCACGCCCAACACTACCCCGTACATTTTACACAGTCTGACAACTGACGTACGACAGACAGAACCCCCTACATCTACACCGACAGCTGACGTACCGTTCCCTAAGTAATGACGCCCCGCCGAGTACGAACGTTGCCGTTATACCTCCTTCGCCTTCGTTGCGCCTTTCCAACCATTCGTCTGGATTTCGAACCGGAATCACGACTCATCTCCCTCTCAATCAATCCGACACGCGAAGATTTACTCGTCAGTCAGTTCAGTAAGTTTCCCGGAGGGTCCCCGTTGATAACAGTTCCCTTTGCGTTGGAAATAGATGTGAACTTTTCACGTACACTGTACCAATATAATTATAACTTCCTGCAGCTCTCTGCTGTAATTACTGTACTGTATCTTGTTTCACAGAGAGCAGCACGTCATTTATGATTCCAGCAGTATTGCCGGCTTGCAATTTTCACAAATAAGGTTAACTTTAATCAGATGGTACAGGCCTATGTTTACGACTTACCCGCGCTGGGATGGAATGAGACTAAAGCTACCCCGGGGCAGTAAAATGGATAAATATATTTCATTGGAGAGCACTGGGCTTTTAGGATAGGAAATTATGACAAAAGAAGCAATATCTACGGTGATACAAATCTTTTTTTCCTGAATGTATGTGTACCGACGTTGATTAGTTGGCAGCAACAGCAAGTTGATATCAAATCACATACTAGTATGTGAAATCTAATTACACACAAGACAATCAGAGATTCATTCCTTACTCAGATTGCTCTTAATTTTAGTGGGTTAACCCATACTAAAATAGGAGCACTAAGGATGAATGGCACGCTGTATTGGGAAAACTCTCTCTCTTTCACACACACGCACATGCACACACACACGCACGTGCACACATACGCACACACACACACACACACACACACACACACACACACACACACACACTATACACTCACACACACACACACACACACACACACACACACACACACACACACACACACACACACACACACACACACACATTAACACACACACTCAAGTTCAAAGGAAGGAAGGTCTACAATATCCCAATATCGATATCTTGCCCAGCAAAAGTAAGTGCCCGCAAGCTTTCATTCCAAGCGCTTTATCCCGTAAATCCTCGCCCGTACTCCCGGCCGCCGCGGCTGTAAGCTCCGGGACCAAATAAAAGCACGCTCGGCCGCCTCATACTGCGCATTTGTACATGACAGGCGGCTTTATATGGACTTAGTGTGTAGACAAAACCGGCACTGCGAGTCTGAAATGTTACTTACACCAGTTGTGGCTGAATTTCTCTGCACTTGAGGATTATTGTAGCTGTCTGACTGCGAACTACGCGTTGATGACAAGTTGATATTTTCGGCCAGACCATCTTGGATATCTGGATGACGTATGTAGGTTACTTCAAATCTGATGCGAGCGAGCAAAATAAAACAATCACAGTGAAATCATACGTCAGGCTTACACTGAAAAAAAAAGGCGAAACTTAGGAAATGATTATTCAGGCAGCTTCATAACGATTTCCCTTGGCCGGTTGCAAATTACAGTAAGCGCTTTGGCCTTTTCATTGTACATAAATGGCTTTCTGTGATACGTATTAGTTCGATAAGGTCGAGTTAAATTGCCCTGTATCTCGTAACTTTCCAGGTATGGAACTTTCCTCTGGGACCGATTTGTGCTATGGAGCTTTCATATCTGTCTAGTTCCACCTTCCTGTAGTTTCCTCGCTTGGTGTTATAATAATGCCAAATCGCCCCATTCATCAAAGTAAGTACTTCCGTACTAATGATTTAAAGGCTGATAATTTAGCGAAGAGTTTTAGCATTTCCACAGGGAATTAGTATGGGAGAGATATACTTTTATAACAGATTTTTCAAAGTCAATACTTTAGTCTCTTATCTACATACTAAGTTGAAACAACACTGTCCCAATGTATATCGACATTCATGGAGCAAAAATTCTCACAAAAAACGGTTGCCGGATTGATTTTTAGGGTGACTCCCCAAAAGTAAAGGACCTTATCTCGGGGCTTGTTTCTGCAGTTTTAAATGCCTAAAGTATGAAATACTGAATCAAATGTGCGAATGTGGGATAGTATGTGTCAATATTATACATATTGCCTTATTCAGAACATTTCCAGTTTTACCACCCTGAAATTACATGGGATGCCTTTAAAACACTCAAAAGATACAACACGTTACAAACGTTTCGGTTGAATAAACAACGGTTTGTCTAGATAGGTGAGGAACTGAGCTTAATTGAAAGACAAATAACAAACGAAGACCGAACAATGCCTCTTCCTCTGTAATGGAGCCCACGGCCGTAAGTCTTACTGCGAACAGGAGGAAGACATATCGACGCCGTGTTATCTACGTTCTGCATGTGAGAACCGATATTATCTGCCACAAATCATCACGTGAAGCTAACGACAGCGATTCCTCGCGAGTCTCGAATGGAAGGAGGAACTACCTTATGAAGTAATTAACGAACAACTAGAAAGGCAACATTTGCACAAAAAAAAGGCACAATTTTTACCTTCGCACATGCCATGGTCTGCTCTGTTAATTCTTACTCAAATACATTCAAATATATATATTTATATATGGTCAAACAGGAGTCTATGTCCCTCCTACTATAAGGTTGCAACATTCTGTAACCCAACACCAGTTACCATGGTGACAGACGTCAACAAATCAGGTCATTGGCCAGCTAGGTCAGAGGTTAGTGTTTGGAGAACAAGAAGAGGAAGGAAACTGAGCAAAAACAATATGTTTTCCTTCGGTAAACATAATAACAACCCTTTTCACTTCGCAGACAGACTGGATTGTGTTCTGATCAATGCTGTAGTACATATGGTTCTTATGTATCGACGTTTATGGCAAATGTTTTGATTTCGACGAGCAATGTTCGACCCATTTTCCCACAGATTTACAACAAAGGCCTGCATTATAAACCTTTAAGCACTGGGTATACGTCGTAAATGTCGTGAACAGTATCAGGGGAACAAAGACAAGCACCCAGGAGCACTCATACTCACAACCAAGGGAATATAATGGCCGATGTAGACTTACACTCAAGATATGAGCAAATATCACCACACTCAAATGACATACACTCAAGATTGATAAGCAGATGAAGGTAAGCCCATCATACCACAAAGCGACATCAATAACGTGTAAGAACCAAACAAATGGCTCATATCACTCTTTGGGGGTTATGAAGATTTTGGGAGGATTATTCGTGAACAAATGCGTTGGTTTCTGAAAAGGCATGGAAGCAATGTGTCAGGATAAGCACGGGACGTGCATATTTACCTCGGAGAAATATGTCGGGAGGATTGCAAAAGCAATGCCACGTACAGAGAAGTTGTCAAGAGTTAACAATGGGGAATTAACACGACTTAAGAATTCCTGATCATCCTCTTGTATAGCCATATGTAAGGCTTTGTCATGACTATGCCTTTTAAGACTACTGCAAATTCAGTACAATCTAGGGGAACTATTTCACAATGATTGTCTGTAATGTTGGTTTGATGCAATATAGAAAAGAAAGAATCAAGCAAGACTAAGCAAGAAAGAATTAAGCAAGAGTAGCCTTATATTTTCTACAAGTAATTCTGCAGATTCACCAATTTATGTGCTCTTAAGATATTTAGCTTTGCCATGCAATATCAAACCCATCGATTGATGTGTTACTTGGGAAGAAGTATAACATTTGTATCACCTTGTTAATCCCTGTGGGATTTTACTAAGTGCCATCGTTACGCCGCCCTGCGTTAATGGACCATTGCTTACATCTGTAGATGACTAGAATCTTGTCGGTGCTTATTAAGACGTGGTGGCGTGAAGACAATCTCCCGGTCTCAAGGCGAGATAGATTTCCTCCCAAGGAGCGCCGCCGGGTAATGAAGGAATCAATCACAAACACTTAGACCCTGTTCATACCAGACTTACATTTAGCGGTTTCAACCGGTTTTTCAAAAACCCGGCTAAAACCCTTAGCGTTCATACCAGACTTTTGATAACCGGTTTTGAAAAAATCCTGTCCGGTGAATATCCAATTAATCGGCCATGACTGCAGTTTGAATAACCGTTCCTCCCGCTCTTCCGATTGTTGTCCTTGGCCTTCTTACTTGTATGCCGTCTTCAGTTTTTTTTTTTTACCTTACTGCGGCACTGATCCTTTTACTCTTCAAGAAATAAGCCTCCTCCAACATTTTTG